TGGAGAATAGGGCTGGAGAGATGGCTCAGCCGTTAAAGGCTAGGCTCACAACCAAAAATATAAGTTTGGAGAATATAAGCTTTAGGTCCAGGGATACCATGAAGGCTTTCTTTTTAATAAGAAAGTCACTTAGGGTTATGAGTAGTTTTTCCCCTGAGTATGGATAGGACCTGGGATGCAGAAAGCAGCGTCCAAGACCTAGCAGCCACTGCGAACGTAGCAGTCTAAGCAGCTTCAGAAGCTCCAGAAGCTGCCAACAACAGCAGATGCCAAGTGAGGCAGTACAAGCAATGGGGTTCTGTGTGATTCCTGTAGGGAAGAAGTCATGGTGGGACAATGTAGTCAGCCAGCTGGAGAGAGATGGCTTGAGGCTATGAGCAACCTTGACAAGCCAAGCAGAGATGCTGCACAGCGAGAGATGAATGGCAGGCAGCAGCTTGGAGAGCAGCAGAGACTTCAGACCACAGTGGCTAGAGCACCAGGAGCCAGAGTCCCTAGTGGCCAGAGCTGAGTGAGGGATGCCCTGGGAGAGTTCAGGCAGAGTGTGGGTGGAGAGCTGAGTGGAGCAGCATCACCCTGGGGTGGAACAGTGGCGGAGGTAGTGCTGTGGACTCAGGGGTAACTGCTGGCTGACAGAATGCCATGGAACTCAGGCCAGCCTGGGCTCACAGCAGCAGAGTGAAGTGGAGCTGTGTGGCCAGCACTGGTCAGCCATGGAGCGGGGTAGCACGTGGAGAAGGACCCCTGCCATTGCAAGTAATGGAGCTGGGGGTGCAGCAGCCACAACTGGCCAAGGCTGGGTTTACTCCTGGAACCAGAATTGTTGAAAGCTGTGGTTCGTAATGGCGGGAGGAACCTTGAGCCCTCTAGCCTCAGGACACAGGGGTCCTTGGCAGATGGGCCAGTTATAGGAGGCACAGACAGCCTGGAACAGTAGAAGCTGAACAGAGCTAGCAGCAAAAGCTGTGCAATTTGTTTGCTGGCAGTTTATGCTGGCTGCACAAAGAGCTCTTCCCCATCCAGCGAGCAGCTTCTGCCCTGGAGCAGTTGTTGCCTAGGGAAAAATTAACTCAAAGTGCCTCTGAGGTTGAGAGTGAGGCTTCAGAGATGCTTGTCTGAACTGGGTTGCAGGCAAGGGGAACTGCAGTAAGTTTTGGTAATGAGACTCCTCATATTCAGAGCTGTTTGCTTCAGAGTCATTACAACTTTGACAGCTATACAAAGACTACAGGGCAGCTGATGAGCCAGGCCCTGATTTTGAGTGCTCAGAGGAACTTTAAGACTGGTACCAGAACTGTCTTTTTGAACTTTTCAGACTTAAGAAATGGGATGAACAGGAGTGGTTTAATTGCAATGGGGTAATTTTGAATTTACTTATGCATATAGACTCTATCAACTGTGATGACTTCTGAACTGTTTTGTGTATGCATATATGTTTTTATTAACTGTGGTGATTCACAAACTGTGTAGAAATGAAGAAATTTGTTTTTTTCTAATGAGGCCCAAGATACAGCTTAAAAAATTATGAAGAAAAGGTGGAGTTAATATTCCTCAGTCTCTTTAATTTTTGAAAAAAAAATTTTTCTTGTTTTGTATGGATAATGTTAACTTGTGTTAATGTACCCTATGTTTTATTAGCAAAAAGTGTAAAAACTCTATTAAGAATTACTTTTGGATGTTTGCTAAAGTTTGTAAAGTGTAAATACTTTTATTGAGAGTTTGCTTTTGCATGTAAGTTTGTAAGAATTGTAATTATGTACAGTAATATTCATCCTTGAATTATGTTAACCTGTTAATGTTGATGAACCATGGTATGGTTATGCTAAGGAGTTCTTGGGTTTGATGTGGCTGCAGCAAGAGTTTACTGATTTATTTGGTGCAGTTGCACCAGGAGTTTATTGATTTAAAAAGGGCTTGGTACAGCTAAGACTGCTGTAGTCATCTTAGACCCATTCAGAAAGACCATTCTATATTTATCATCCTCTACTCCTTTACTGGGAGGTATGGCAGCCATAGGGAGCAGGAGTATTGATGTGGTAATTCTAGCTATTTGCAAGCTCTTAGTAGAAAGCTGATTTGGAGCTAAATAGAGTTAAGCTCTGAACCATCCCCTGCCAGAGGCTGGTAGTCAGTGACAGGTAATTCCTTCTTGCTAGATATCAACCTAAGACAGAGTACACTTGGCAGAAAGTGTATCTCAATGACAGGAAAAGCTGTCTAGTGGTAGAAGATGACCTAAGACAGGCACAGTCCATCTGAGGGGTCTGAGGGCCCTTTAAATTATTAAGAAGGGGGACCCATGGGAGCCCACAGAGGCTATATAGTGAGGACTTACTCAGGGTCAGAGAATCTGAGCTTGCTTTACCCAGCAGGGCTGCATAAGGAGATGACTTGATCATAGGCATGGTTACCAGGTATTTGGAAGGGTCTACACTTGGCTGTATGGTGTGCTTTGATCTTGCAAGAGGGAGGTCTTTTGCCTCTCCCCTTGGCATATTATAAAAAGCCCTTCTCAATAAAGGGTGAGGTCATTGGGTATTAATCCAGGCCCTCCCAAAGCTATCCTGTATTTCTGTCTTTCTTCTTGTCAGCTAGGTCTCTCTTTCTATCTAATATTTTCTTATCCCTCTCTCCTCCTCCTAAGAACGCTTCAAAAGGTGGGACCTGGACTCCCACAGTGGTCATGATGTCTCTTTGCAGCAATAAAAACCCTAACTAAGACATCTGACATGAGAAAATCTCATATCCCGAAGCCTTTTAAAGGATACAGTTTGTAGAAAATACGAAGCACACATGTGAAGGGTTTGTGGCCTAAATACTCAAAGGAAAACTCAATTGCAGTGCAGTGCATAGCGGCACACACCTATAATTCCATCACTTGGGGGGATGAGGCAGGAGGACCTCAAGGATAGTTCAGCCTGGATTACAAAATGAGTTCCAGGCCAGCCTGGGCTACACAGCAAGGCTCTGTCTGCCTCTGCCCTCTGCTGTCTATTTCCTGCCCCACTGAGTTCAACCCCATCTCTCTCATATGTGTGCACATACACAAATAAATAAATATTTGTAGATCAGTTTTTAACATAAGAACTTACCAGCACTTTCAGCAAGGTCTTATCTTTAAATTGAGGCAATGACAGAAATTTCTCTATCACTAAAAGCAGAATAATAAATGGCTAAACTAATGTAAGCTGACAAATTTAGTCATTTTCAGCAGAAGTACTTGACTGGAAAAATTAAATTCAGTTCCATTTGGTGGCAATAGGTCATATGATTTAGGGTGGCCTGGCCTGACATAACAAAAACTTTGGATGAATATCATCTGGGTCTATATGTGACTTCAGCTACTGACCTGAAGCTGCTGCTATTAAGCAACTTTAAGGACTTGCCATGTTCAAAATAAATACATAATGAGTTCGTGTTTAAAATGTCCCTTTTGTCATTTACAAAGGTGAATAAAAGAAGTCTATATTTAACAGATAGTCAAAATGTTACTATTTGTACCAAGTAACACACCATATTAAAGAGAAGCCACTTGTGAGGCTTGCTTTGTTAAGACAGCTGAGTGTAGCCCAGTTGACTACTTATATTCCTCCCTCACCTCTCAAGTGCTGGGATTACAGATGTGTACCACCACATCTGGCTAAATTTGTCAATTGAAAACAACTATAAGGCCATCAAGAAGACTCACTGGGTTAAGGAACTTGAAGACTCATTGGTTTAAGGAACTTGAAGATTCACTGGGTTAAGGAACTTGAAGACTCATTGGGTTAAGGAACTTGAAGA